TCGTGTTGTGTTCTCTATTTCGACGCATGAAAAAAGCAGAGACACACGATACATGTGCAGAGAGGCGCGTTGGTTTCCCAAGGAGCTGTCCGGGCGGGAGCCCCACAGTGTCATTTCGGAGAGCATCAGAGTGGAAAATAATGCCCACACCACCCCCACCACTCCCATCACACCACACACACAGAGCTGATATGCCGGTGTTTCTCCAGTTGCAACACCACCAAAAACACAGTGCTGTCGTCCAGTGTGGTCCGAATAGTCCAAATACACCCCAAAAAGACACAAAGATATGGACGCATTCCAAGGTGTTTGCACCGCACCCCATTGTAATGGTCGGCAGTGTGCACCGTGCACCCTAGTTAGTGGCAGCCTGCTCACGTGGCTCGTGGGGAAGCTCGGCAGCACCACATCGCATGGTATCCCCCTATGGATCAGAGTGCAAGCAAGGGGTGAGAAGAAAATGAACAGCGCAGAGAGAGAGAGAGAATAGAAAACACTCACTCTCAGAGAGTCACACAACGTCATCTAAGGGTCTTTTTCTTTTTAAATAAACGCAGTGATTCACACAATGACAGAAATGAAAACAAATAAACAGAGAGGTGGGTGTACCATTAGTCATTACGCACANCATGGTATCCCCCTATGGATCAGAGTGCAAGCAAGGGGAGAGAAGAAAATGAACAGCGCAAAGAGAGAGAAAGAGCGAGATTGGCAGACACACTCACTCTCACAGACTCACACAACGTCATCTAAGAGTCTTTTTCTTTATAATAAACGCAGTGATTCACACAATGACAGGAATAAAAACAAATAAACAGAGAGGTGGGTGTACTATCAGTCATTACGCACACGGTGGTCAGTGTTGTGCGGCCGGCATTGCTAGTCTTCCTCCTTGAAGCTCACCATGGCTCTACCTTGACAACCCACAGAGAAAAAAACGATAATAAAACAAAACCAATGAAACAACGGGTTGCCAGCCCTGTATTATGCATTCCTTTATTCATATTTCCTTCTTTTATTTCCTTTCTTTTTTTCCTTTTACCTTACGGCAGCCACTCACACAGTAGAAATCATATACTTCACTCAATTCAGTTTTCGTTTCACGTTGTGTTTGTTTTGTTTCTTCGATACGGGGGAATTGTCACGGCACCACACGCATAGTCCCATGACTCTCCTCTTAGTGAGCACTGTGGAATAAAATAATACAAAACATAGTGAAACAATAAAAAACACTGCTCAGTGTGAAGTCAGCTCCACCACACTCAACGACTACTCCTTGTGTCGACCTGAATACTATTTTCGTCGATTGCACAGGCAAGTCCTTCTCATCTTCTTTGTTTGTTGTGTTGAAATCTCTCTCATCGCATTCACTTTCTCGATGTCCTGCACGCCGCAACAAGTACGACACAGCACATGCATCATCTGCTCTATGGGGATCACGATACTTTTTTTTTGTTTTGCTTACAATGGCCGACAGCAATCGCACCAGGGGGTGGGAAATGAGAGAAACGCGGTGCACAGGGCGTCGATGCCACACAGCTCCGCCTTCTTCATTCCTGCACCTGCAATCGTTGTGTCAGGCTTTGAATACAAATGCCTGATCGTCACAGTTGCCACTGTCGCGCGGCGTCACACAGGTCTCAAGAGATACAAAATCACACATATACGCACATGAACAAAATAAAAACACAGAGAGAGAAAATTTTTATCTTGTATTTCCTCCTCTTGTAAAACTATCATATAATCCTTCGATAAGTTCACCTCATCGGAATTGATACCCCTTCAACACTCCCTCATCCATGCACATCTACTCCGATAACTCGCACCGCCCAACGCAGCACCAGATGCAACAGTTCCTGGCTCATGTCCCATAGCGATGGAGGGATACTGGGCGAAGGGGAGAGGGAAGGAGTATTCTTCAGAGTGGTAACAGGAACAATGAAAGTAGACGGCATGGGGCTCAGGATTTGGAGATTTCCTTCTTCCTCTCGTGTTGTTGTTTATTTGGGCAAAGCATTGACACATTGGGAATCACCTTCATGATGCACTACACACCTCAATTATCCTTGTCGTTTGATGGGTCATGATTATCTGGTGAATGCATAGAGGGTGACTCATTGAACCATTTGTAATCTTTTCCCTGTGGATCGTAAAGCTTCATGTGTCTTCTCTATCTGTGTCATCGCAATACTCTCGTACGCACTCAAGCACCTTCTTCTGATGAGCTAACTGCTTCTTGTAAAGAACCTTGTGTCTCTCAGAATCGTTTTACTCCAGCTCCTGTGATTCCTTTGGCCAGTGCAATACAGCAGGTGCTAACTGGCCCCTCCCAAACGAAGAAAAGACATGTTTTCATCCGTCAGTGGGAGGCAGGATACACCTTCTGAAAACACGCATTCCGCACCGGGAGAAAAAAGATTACGCGAGTTTCTTTCTGGTGGCTCAGCCATCCGAAACGTTTCAACCCATGATCGATTGGGTTTTTCGTTGTCCGCTTTGCGTTCGGGAAGAAAAATCGTTTGGGGGGGAAAGTCGTCATCCTCTTCTCCATTCTCCATCATGTCCAAAAGCCATTCGACATAAGCCCTCGAACTCCTATCCATAAAATCAATGGATTTGTCACTATAATTAGTACGAACTGTCGGCATCTTCGTAGTCTTGTTGTAAAGTACGTTGTTATTAACAGATACAACACTTTCCTGTTGTATTTGTCGCTTCTTTTTTGTGTATGTCCGCCAAAGGAACCGAATTCCCGTCCATCACCTCTTACATATTTGTGGGGTCGATGTGCCGCTCCACTGCTTTGCTGGGCTGCTCAGCAACAGGCACCTGGGCAGCACCATCGTCTTGGGGAGGAACAGGCGTGGGTGGGGGTGTGTGCGGGGAAGTACCGACAGAAACAGTTGTCAAAGGATTTGATTCTCTCTGCACAGGGTTTGGCACCGTCGGCGAGGGTGGTGTGCCAGAGTCTGGTGGCTCTCTTCTGTTCTTCCTTCGCTGATGCAACACATATACCACGACGACAACCAGAGCAATTAATACAACGACGCCGGCAATGACAATCCCGGCGATGACTCCACCGGACAATTTTTTCTCTCCCTTCCCTTCCGACAAATCGAACATCTGGGTGTAGGTGCGTCCTCCGATTGTCACGTTGGCCGCAACGAAGCAGAAATTCACATCCTCAACACGCATTCCCCTGCTGGCGAGATCCAGAAACACAGATGATGACTGTGGGGTCTCACTCTTCTCACACATACGAGGCCCAGCAGACACGGAATCGCATTTGGCATTCCGTGGCACAGCGCACACAGTGTACGGCTCTCTGCGCCACTCGAGGTCGCCACCACTGACATTAATCGTAACAGTGTTCTGGTCCGTGTCAGCAGTTATCTTGAAGGCAAAGGGTTTCTCCAGCACCGTCACCGGCAGCGCAGCGGGAGCAGTGTACTCTCCATCACCATCACCATCGACACACACAGCGTACACACCAGCTTCTGCAGACAGCACACGGAGGTCGGACAGGTACACCCGCGACGAGCTGGAGGTGTTCACACACGCATCACGGTGCACCACCTCTTCCCCACTGTCAGTAGTCAGACGGGGGCAGTTGTTGCCAGGGCACCGCACCAGGAACACACGCTTCAGCTTCGTCACCACAGATTCCGCATCCTGCAGCACGACATTTCTGTCTTTACCAGCTGTCAAGTACAGCGGCGTGGTCAACAGCAGCTTCACCTCAATAGATTTTTCACCCCATGGAAGGTATTGGGAATGCCAGTCATTTGACGTCACACAGAGCCAGTATTCGCCTGGAGGGGGAAGATGCGCGGGTGGCAGCATTCTGTGGCACCCAACAGTCTCAGTGCAGGTTGTAGTGGTGTACCGGCATGCATCGAAAGAGCGGACCAGCATGGAGTCGGAAGCCGTGGTGCCGGTTGGGAGATTGGGTGCCCACGACACCCCCATACCGTAATACGGATAGAGTGTATCGAAATTCGAACGGGTCGCACGGATGTCCATGAAGTCCATGCTCTTATTGGTCGTCAGAGGAACGTTTGTTACTTCAACGTCAGAAAACGTTGTAATGACCAATTCCCAACGTCCTGAAGGTGCCCCCCAAATAGGCATGAATGTAATGGTATTGGCTTTCGCATCAAGAGTCGCTGGCCAGCCAGGGATGAGGTCTCCTTTATGATAGTACGATGCGGAGAGGTTCAAGCCACTCAGTGTTTGGGCATCGCTGACTTCGCAGGTGTATGGGATGTTGGAAGGATTGAGTACAACGGTGGGAAAGCAGTTCGTGAGTGTCACCAAGGGATCGTCGTCGGCTGCAGGCGTGGCCATTCTCGTTCGGGTGGCCATGCCACCAGC